TCAAATAAAATTGATTTTCATCTTTGCTTAGTCCATCAAAAATTGGGATACATACAGTCACCAAGAACAGTGTTGGGCTCCTATATGTCAGAAAAACACAGAGAAACAAATAAACTAAGACTGTGAAAAGGAAGTACTCTCAGATTTGTTCAGTTAAAACAAATATTCATTAAGCACTTGCCATGTACCAGGTACTACACTGGGGAAAAAATGATAGGAACAAGACTTTGTGACTAGGAGGTTGTTGGATGACCTTGGCCTTCAGTAGAGTTTGGGTACTGACACCAGACAGCAGTGGGATAGGTGAGCAGAAGTTGACTACAAACAACTATTTCAAGAAATTTGGCTGAGAAGTGAAGAAGAGAGAAATTTTAACAGAGAAATATGAAATCAAGAGAGGAGTCTACTTTTCATTGTTGTTTCTCTGTGTTGCTTTATTGTGTAAAGGCTGTCAGGACAGAGCCTTTAGGAAGGTATGAAAAACTGAATTAAGTCCTCACAAAGCCAGGAGTGAACAGGATACAAAGCCCACATAAGGGGATTGATCTCAGCATAAACACAATGTCTTCCACTATAACTGGGGAAGGAGGAAATTTTTTTGGCAGAAAGGCCATGGGCTTCTCCTCTGACAACTCTATTATTTATGAAGAAGGTGGTAAGGTCATCTACTAACAGTGGAGAAGATGTGAAAGGATAAGAGCTTTGAAAAGCGTGAAAAAAATACTAAAAATTAGATTCTGCACAGATCAAAAGCAGGGACTAGTGAGGAAAATACTCTAGATTCCTTAATGGTTCAATTGAGACTGTTAAGCATGAATTCACAGGGGCACAAATCTACATACCACGATTTTTCCCAGCTGGTCCTAGGAACCCAGGTTAGCACTACAAAAGGTAAAGAGCTGAGACTTCTAGAGCTGAGAATTCAACTGCCAGATGCTACAGAAAGATGATACAGTTGAGCACACTGACAGGAGAGTAAGCCTCCTCATGAGGTGTAGGGGAAGTGAGTGAGAGTTAGATACTGAGTTTTATATTTCAGAGTGGACCAGCTCCAGGGTCAGGTAGTTCAGTACTGTTTCTCCAGCCACCAGCTCCACTTCTTTGGCAAGTCAGATCCTCCTCTGTGTCTCAGCATACAGCTGGCTCTACTTTCTCCCTTGTCCCTTTGGTTGTTAGCTACTCCTTGCACCTCACCAACCATTCCCTAACCCTGCCCACACCTCTGCCAGTAGCTCCTTTATTAAGATCTCATCGGAGCCACCTGCCATGACTTCTGATTCCTTCTAAGACCCGGACTTTACAAAGACATACATCATGTCACTTACACAGGGCGTTCACTAAAATTAAACAAAAGCCTATTCCTGGCTTTTTATCGTTCAGTAAAATTATGATACAATAAAAGTTAAATTATTTGCCTTCCAAAATCACAAAACTTTAAAAATACAAAGGCTCTTGAAAAATTTACCTATACTTACAAACAAAACTAAGATCCAGCCTACTTACAAACAAAACTAAGATCCAGCCTTGCCAAAGCAACACAGTAGCAGGACACAGAGGGAGAACCTTTGGCACTGCACACCTGTCACTGGGTGCCACTCTGTGCCAGGTACTGTTCTGGGTGCTCATGGAGTCACCTGTGCAGCTCACTTTCTCATAAAGTGAAATCTAGGCCTCCCAAGTCCAAGTGTCTACTATTAGCACCAATATTTATCTGAAGTGGAAAGTATTAAGCTGAAGGAATTGCTAAACTCAAAACAAAAATAAAGCAAACTAAATGCTTTAGTTTTACTCTTAAATGCTGCCAACAGCATTAAGTTAATAAATGTTCAGGAAGTTTCTGACCTGGCCTAATACAATTTTCTGGAAAAAAAATGTTTAACAAATCAGTTCCAAATTCCTTGACCTGTCCTTCAAGGCACTCTACCCATAATCCAAAACACACTCACTCACTGTGGGCTCCAGGTGTGCAGCCCAGAGAGGTTCACATACCTTCCCGCAACACTTCTCCCTCCTTAAGACTTCCCAGCCACTGTAACCCAACAGATCCTGCTCTCCTCTGAACACCTGATATATTTACACTCAATGCTACAGTTCAGTACTTAGCTACTCCTTAATTAAGAGGGGAAAAATGCGCCTTCTAAATCCAGGCAAATCTTATTTATTTCTAATGTATGTGTCAGGCATATCCTAAGACTGCAAGACACAAAAATAATTAAAACTAATCCCTATCCAGCATGAGCTTAATCTTTTGACTAGTATGTAAATACCAATAATAGTTATAGCCCCTAACATAACAAACAGATAAGTGCTGAGTGGTTACTGAGACGGAAAATTTCAAAGCAAGAAGGATTCTTAGAGATAATCTAGTTTCATGTATTCTCTGAATACACAAATGAGAAAACTGAGTCCAAAGGGGCTAAAAAACTCAGCTAGTGCTATAAAGTAGACCAGTGGTAGCCCGAGGGCAAGTGAATGGTTGCTTTGAGGCTTAACCAATATACCTTTTGTCTTTGTGATTTTCAAGTTGAGAACCAAGGATGCCCATTGGTGTGTTCACAGTCTCAAGACTCATATAATTTCTCTCCAATTATTTTAAATTTGTGTGATCATATCAATAATAATTCCTTTAAACTGTACTAAACATACTCTAAAGCATATTATTATAAGTGGACACTACTACCATGTGAGTTCAACAGGCAGGTAGTCAGGGAGTCCAAGTACACATTCCCCAGTGTTTGAGAACAATCAACATTCTAGACTATTACTGATCAGACTGATCAATGTTACTACCCAATTTCAAAATCTTCTACTCTACACTGACCTAAAACATATCCATTCAATAAACATTTAAGTACTACTATGCATGGGGTGCTGAACTAGGAACCCTGTCTAGATTAAGATGAATAAACTGGAGAATGGTGAGAAAGTAATCATAAGAATAACTCTGCAACTAATACTTCATATATGGTCTAATCTTGCAGGTATTTGTATCACACTAGAAATTGGTCAAAATCCCTTGCCAGGAGACTGCCTTTGCAAAAATTTTTGAGTACTAATTTCATTTCCCAGATTCATACATAATGAGCTCACATATATGTGTGGAACGAATGAAATTTTAACCTAGCAAATTAATAATCAGTCATCTTTTAGAAAGTTAACAGAGTTGATCCTTGAGCAACACAGGTTTGAACTGCACTTATATGTGGATTTTTTCAATGAAAATTATACCAAGTGTCTGCCTCTCTTGCCTCCCCTTCTACCTCTACCACCCCTGAGACAGCAAGGTCCCTCCTCTTCCTCCTCCTCTGCCTACTCTACATGAAGACAAGAAGACGATGAGGATGAAAATATTTATGACAATGAACTTTCACTTAATAAATAGTAAACGTATTTTCTCTTCCTTATGATTATCTCAATAACATCTTCTCTAGCTTACATCATTGTAAGAATACAGTATATAATACATACAACATACAAAATATGTGCTAATTGGCTGTTCATGTTATCAGTAAGGCTTCCAGTTAACAGTAGTCTACTAGTAGATTAAGTTTTTGTGAAGTCAGAAGTTATATGGGAACTTCTGACTTCGTGGGAGGTCGTTGCCCCTAACTCTGGTGTTATCCAAAGGTCAACTATAGTTCAAAATGGTATTCAGTACAGGAAACTAAATGCCTGAAAAGAAAAAAAAAAAATTTTCTATAACTTCCAAAAGTTGTCCCAAGTAACACTGAGGGACTCTCTGCTTAAATGTATTAAATTTCTTCTTAATCAAACAGAAGAGAACATCTAAGTACTAAGCATGCATCATCTTTTTTCTAAGACCACTTTGTGAATCACCAACTTTTCACATAAAGAACATCCTTGGGAAGATTTTGGCTTTCAGATCCTTTGTCATTAAAGTAGTCAGTTCGACAAAGCCTGGGCCAGCATACACTAACATTTATAAACAAAATATTATTATGCATTAGGAAATGGATCCACATAATCTCAGAACTAAACTTTCAATGCTGTATAGTGCACACAGATGATTAAAGTGTAGATGATTTGAAAAATGTTTTTAAGTTTGTCTTGTAAGTTTACTCTCAGATTCATCTTTATTAAACTTAAGACAAATTTTCCCTGGCTTATTAGTATGTCGACCTTCAGCACACTAAAAACAGATTGTTTCCGTTTAAAATCGAGTTCTTTCAAGAACCGTTCGTTTCTTGGAATTAACATAAGTCTCTATTTACACTATCTTTGGGCATCAGCAGACTTCCGGGGCTGGGTGTGCACGTCTGGGCCAGCCTGCCGGCCTCACTGGCAGCTGCCATGCAACCACAGATCATCACTCAACCACTATGAGCCGCTGCTTCCCCATCTGTAAAACGGGAAAACACAGCAACCCCCATGCTTACGAGGATCAAATGAGCCAGTGCCTGCTGAGAGCAAGGACCGGCGCCCGGCGAGTGCTTGGCACAGCCCTAACGAAAGCGCACCTAGACCAACCGCCACACCTATCTCAGTCCTTGCTCCTCCAGTAAATTCTCACACTCAGCAGAGGGACAAGTGCACAAGAGAGCAAAGGAGCACGCGGGACGGGCTGCAGCAGAAGACGGGGGGCACGCAGCCGTGCTGCGGAACGCAGAACCCGGCAGGTACCGGGCTTGAGGGGCGCCGACTTTGTGGGGTTCGGCGTAGGGAAGGCGCGGAGCCGTGCAGGAGCCCGGCAGGTGTCCGACGAGGGAGAGGGGAGCGGACCTGGCGAGGCCCGGCGTGGAGGGCGCGGGTACTTGGTCGGAGGGAACAGATCTGGCGGGGCCCGGCGTAGGGGGCGCGGAGCCCGGCAGGTGCCCGGCGTGGGGGCCGCGGACCTGGCGGGGCCCGGCGTGGGAAGGGGGCTGCAGCTAAGCGGGGTAGGACAGGAAGCCCGGCGCAGAGCCCGGCAAGGGCCGGGGGCCCTGGACGGCGCGCACTTACAGCCAAGCCCAGCGGCCGGGCCCTCCAGCGCCCACACGTACCTCCAGTCCTCAGTCGCCGCTTAGCCACACAGACGGGTCCCGGGGGTCTCCACTCAGCTCCGGGACGCGGACGCCCAGGGCCAGTGCCGCACTTCCGCCCGCCAGAGCGCGTCGATCCGCCGGGCAGCCGAGCGCCGAGCGCGTCGATCCGCCGAGCGCCGAGCGCGTCGATCGGGCTGCCGAGCGCCGATCCCCGAACCCGCCGAGCCTCCAGGAAGCAGCAGGACTAGCGGACACAGGAGATGCGCTGAGTCAGGAGGATGCACTTGGGTTCCAGGGACCTGACCGTACGAACGGGCGCGAAAAGGCGTTTTTCGCTGGGCAGTTCTAGTGTTCGGCGAGAGATACGGATGAGAAGGAACAGCTCGGGGGCGACGCGTGCACCGTTTGTCCCTGTGCCTTCAGGTGATCTCAAAGAGGACTTAGCGTGACAGTGCGTTTGTAGGGCCACATTTCACACCTGTGGACCCTGCACAGGGCCAGGAGGTCGCCTGGGTAAGCAGGATGCACCAAATCAGGAGGATGTACAAGGTCAGGATGATCCATATGGTCAGGGGGCTGCACCGGGTCAGAGGGCCCCACCGGGTCAGTAGGATGCATCGGGTCAGGAGGATGCACTGTGCTCATAGGGATGCACTGGGGTTAGGAGAATGCACCGGGTCAGGAGAATATATAGAATCCAGGGCTGCACTGGGGTCAGGGGGCTACGCTGGAGCCCAGGGACTGCACTGGGGTCAGGAGGATGCCCTGGAGTCAGGGGGCTGCATTGGGGTCAGGGGGATGTACTGGTATCAGAGAATACACTGGATCAGGAGGATACCCTTAAGTTAGGGGGCTGCACTGGGGTTAAGAGGATGCACTGGATCAGGAGGATGCCCTGCGGTCAGGGGACTGAAGTGAGGTCAGGAGGATGCGCTGTAGTCAAGGGGATGAAATGGATCAGGAGAGTCTACCGGATCAGAAGGATGCACAGTGTCAGGAAGATGCACTGGGTCAGGGGGAGGCAATGGGTCAGGGAGCTGCACTACTTGATACCCCTGAATGTTGCTACCCACTGAGTGAACACTTTCATCAGCAGGGTACCATGCAGACACTAGAGATAACAAGATGAGTAGAGGACCGTCACATCCCCATCCCCATCATTCCCCGGCTGAGGATAGACCATGGTGTGGAGAGACAAAAAGGAGCATCACTAAGCGACTTCAGCATTCTGGGCAAGAAAGGAGAATGGCAGGCACTAAGGGATGATGAAAAGGGGTCAAACTGACAGTGTGTGCTGATGGCAAAATTGACAAGACTTACTGAGGGCTGTGAGAAAGAAATGGCTCCAAGGTATTGATCTAACCACTAGGTGCTTCTACTAACTAAAATAAGAAAGACCAAGGAAGGAAAAAATTGGGAGGAGAACTAAAAATTCTGTTTTTAAATTTTAAATGCAATTAGACATTCCAGTGAAGATGTTGAGTAGGCCCTTGGAATACGAGGTAACAATGCAGGAGAGATGACAGGACTGGATATATGCTTTTGTCAGTCATAAGTTGGTGGATGCTATTTATGCTGTGGGTTGCATGAGATCTCCTAGCAAGTGGCTTTAAAGAGAAGAGGTTTGGGACTAACAGCTAGAGTGTCAGAGACTTCAGGAAGAGGAGAGGATTGGGACAAAAAGGCCAAGGAGAAAGGAAAGTGAGGACGGTAGCGAGGCCCAGAAGCAAATAAAGTTTCAGGAAAGAGGAATTGATTAACCAGTGTCGAAAAAGTAGTTTGAAACCAAGACTCCAGAGACAAGTGAATCTGGCACGTTGCCATCCTTGACAAGAGCAGTTTCAAAGGAGTGTGGGGTACCAAAGTCTCATCGAAGTGAACTGAGAAGAGAGTATTAAGTGAAGTAGAAAAAAGTAAATCTAGACAATCCAGGTTGGAAGATTTAACAAATAAAAATACAATATGCCCAGTTAAGTTTGAATTTCAGGAACAATTTTTAGTATAGTTGCAAATCTATATGAATATTACATGAGGCATACTTACACTAAAATATCGTTTTAGTATTTTTCAGTGTATATCCCAAATATTGTATAGGATATACTCATACTAAAATTGTATTCATTGTTTAACTGAAATTCAAATTTAACTGGATGTTCTCTATTATTATCTGCCAACTTTGACAACTACTTCAGGGAATTTTGCAACAAAGGGATCAGAGATATGGGGTAGTTGTCAGAAGGACATGGTCTCAAAGGAAAAGTTTAAGATGGGAGCCATTGCCAGGTAGAGAGGAAATGCCAATGTGAAAGAGAGAAGGAGCAACTGCAGAATAAAGTCCTTGAGAAGGTGAGAGAGGGAAGGACCTATTGCACAAGGCCCAAGGCTCTCCCTAGAAAAGAACCAGCAGAGTGCAGTCTGGCAGCAGGAGAGGGAGCAGGATATGAACGTACTGATGTGGTTGGTTGTAGTCATGGTGGGAGGAAATGAGAACATGTTCTAAATACTTCTGTTTCATTAGCAAAAGAACAAGCAAGATCATCTGTGAGCACAGGACAAGGGAGGATTGTAGAGAAAGCTGAGATTGTTATCTCGAATATTTTGAACAATCACTAAGGAAATGTAGTAAGATTGCTGGACAGAGCAAAATGCCACTAGGATGTGTGGTCCTATGGCCAAAAGGGAGCCAGCCAGCCTGTGGGTGTGGTCCTGTGGCTGAAAGGGAGTCAGTCAGCCTGCTAGGTGGGCCCTGGGGTTAAATGGAAGCCAGTTCGCCTGCTGGGTGAGTCTTGGCACTCTGGTACAAGCAGGGCATTAGTAGAAAATGAGTTGTAGCCAAGGTTGGAGTTTAGTACAGCAGAAGAAGCAGGGAACAGAGGAGTTGAGAGTCTATGCAAAGCAATAACATTAGACAGGACCATGGAGTAAGCTTAAGTTGATATGAAAGGATATTTAGATAGATTTTTCTGACCGTCCTAGAATCAGCCAGTTCTATAGGAAAAGATGGCAGAAATCTAGGACTGATACACTATGCTCCACTCTTCCTAGGATAAGCCTGGTTTATGTCTGTTATCCTGGCTTAGTTATTATGAGTGCCCCTTTCTCTGTCAAAAGTGTACCTTTTAGGTAATTTTGGTCACCTTAGAGTCTCCCTACATTACAAAGAAAGCCCCAAGCAATTGGGGTGTGACACTTTGTGGGGTGTATGAGGTTCAAATCTGGGTTAGTACTTGCTGGCCTGAGAAATCCATTGACCTGTGCTTGCTGTCATCAGGCTGGAGCTGGGCGTGGGTGGAGTTCCTGGCAGAGTTGGGCTGCCATGGAGGCTGTACTAACCAAGAGCACCTACCTGTTTCTGGTGTAGATATCCCCAAAGGTGGGAGACAGCAAGGTGGAGAGGACAGTGACTGGGAGGAACTGCACAGCAATACTGTGGACTTGCAGCCTCTCACCACAGAACACATGTGCCTCTCAAACAAACCCAGCCTTCAGCCTAACTGTGTGTCTCCCAGGAAAACCCACCAGAGAGCAGCCATAGCAGGATACTGAGCGGCTGGGATGGTTCACCCACTCAAGTCCTCTCCTTGCTTGCTGATACCAGTAAGTGGGCCAGACAGCAACCCTGGCCTGACAGAAGCATGGTAACCAGAAGTTCAGACCTTGCAGGAAGAGAGATCTGGGCTACTTCATCAAGCAAGCAACTTGGGTTACAAAAGTGCTACTTGCTTTGATTAAGAGTGAATTGAAAAGAACTAAACAAAATTAAATTTTAAAAAAATTGTGCTACTTGCAGCTGAAGATTATCTAGAATGGCAACCAAGGAAGAAGCTGATGGGAATCACTATGGCCGCAGGACCTACTGCAGCAGGGGACACTGTAGCACCCCCCACTCCCCACCGACCCTCATGAGGTGGAGTTTTCCCCCAAGTTGAATACGACTGGACACCACCACAAGGAATCAGAACCAAAACACGGTATACCAGTGGGTCTGAGCAAGGGAGGGACAGTATCAGAAGTCACCAATGCCCCACCCAGACCCCCTCAACTAAAGGCTGCTTTCTAGGAACACCTGCACCTCGCTTTGTGCTTGAGTGTCTTCCTTCTGGACCCAGCAAGTTGTAAGTGCTAGAAAGTTGATTCGCTCAGCAGCAGGCTCCAGTCAGTGGCCAATGGCTAGCATGGAGCTGTCATGTGAATGCCCTAGCATGGTCACTCCTGGGTGGAGCTGCTTGGTGGCCTGTGGTCCATTGCACTGCAGAGTCCCCATGGAGGCTGCTCCAGGCCCACCAGGGAGGTGTCCCCTAACACATCTTCCTCGGCCTCCCCTTTCCCCTCCTGCTATGTCCTACTGGTACCTAGCAAGGAGCATGCTAGCCCTAGAAAGGATCTCAGGGTGGCTTCTGAGGAAATCCAGCCAAGACTGTCATCATCATAGACAAGAAACAACCTGTCTGTATCACAACTGAAAGACCTTTATGTGCTGAATTGCACACTTTTTTAGGGAAATACATCAAGGAAAGTAGAATAGGTGACATTTTATGCAGACACACTGGGTCCTGGGCCTTAGCATGACTGTATCCTTCTTCCTATCAGAGGACATGTTGAGTCCTGCTCTCATGTGCAAAAACTCCACAGCCCCAGCGTCATCCAGTGAAGGGAATGCTAGGAAGGGTGAAGCCAAGACTGGCAGTAGCAAGGGAAAGGAAATCAAGGGAAAGGAAGTGACTGGCTGTAGGACACCCCTGCATCTTCAGGTCTTCATGGCATGCCATTTCCCAGACCCTGCCATGAAGCCAAGATGTGTGGGACTTGAGAACTCATAGATTCTTCCCAGGTTAATATAAGAATAATAATAATAGCAAGTAATACTGTATTTCTGAAGCCAAACACTCAAGAGAGAAAAGGAACTCTTGTTAATATGAAGAGTGTCAAGTGTTTTCTTTCTTTTTTCTTAAATTTCTGGTCCTAATTCCAAAATCAGCCAGCAAACATCAGTATGCAGAATTTGGCAGCAAATAAAACCATTAAACCTAACACTGCAGTAATAGTTGTTGGGGCAATTAAATAT